CCTCCCCATCCTCCCCATCCTCCCTCTCCCAGTCTACGTAGCACTCTCAATTATTCACAAGGCTAGCTGTGAATAATTACATTAATATTTGAGTTTTCCTTTGTAGTTCTAACCAGGCTGTCGGCCTGCAGGTACAAGTCTTTAGTAGAAAGAAGAAAACAAGTTGCCTCTTTGGAGACAGAACTCGTGTGTTTGGTTGTTGCAGGTCCATCCAGAAGCTGGAAGAGCTCAACGTGGGGATGGAGAATTTGGGAGAAGAGGTAAAATCTCTGACGCAGCAGTGTAATGGCAACGGGAACACGCCCGCCTCCGAGGACAATAACAACCCTCCGTCTGTAACCCCCGAGCAGAGCCGGACCCAAGGGGGAGGGGTGCTCAGCAGCACCCCGCAACGCACCGTAGGGGGTCGGCCTGTGCCGCCTCCAAATGAGTCCCCTGTCGCCACAATGAGGTTTGTGAGTTTGCTTTTGTTTGTTTTTGTTTTTTAAACCTGCTTGTTGAATTACTGGCCCCTGTTTTTTGTTTGTTTGTTTGTTTGTTTTTTACAGTGGGCAAAAACCAAAAGGAGGCCAACAAGGTGACTCTCCAGGCTCTTTATCCCGAATTAAAGAGGTAGGGACGGACACACACACACACACACACACACACACACACACACACACACACACACACACACACACACACACACACACGGTGACAGCAGAATGACAGCCGTCATTAGAAATAACAGTTATGACAGACCTGGTGTTAATAATCAGTTTCAGGTTGTTACTCAGGTGTTACCCTTAGTTTAGCTCTGACCTTGTGTGGTGTGATTTTAAAGTTCAGCACATTCTCTGTTGTTTACATTGTACTTTAAAATGATCCAGTGTAATGCTAATTTGGCTAAGCGGATTATAACAGTTTTATCTGAATGGCAGTGATGTCACAGCAGTATGCATGTCATAGGGTAGAGAAGATCAGATGAGATTACGGTGCTGTAATCTCATTGCTAATGTGTGTTTTTCGTATATGGCGTGTTTTCAGGGTGACAAACCAAAAAGCCTGTTTGTACCGGTGCATTCTTTGGAAGACACTCAGGCTATTCGAGCCGTTGCCTTTCACCCGTCTGGAGCGCTGTACGCTGTGGGCTCCAACTCCAAAACGTTACGCGTGTGCGCTTATCCAGAGACGCTCGACACGAGGTAACAAAAATCAAAAAAGTGAATGTTAAATGTTAACAGATGTTCTCTTTTCCATTTTTTTTGTTTAGTATGATCCATCACATCTCTGTTAAAACCCATCTTTTTGTTTCTGATCCTTTAAAATATGAGTGAAAAGTAGACTTTTTAGTACCTTTTAATGACCACATAACAGCCAGCAACTAGATGTGCAATACACATTTTTCCCTAGCGATTGGTGGTTGCCATGTGGTCACTGATCTGTCAGTTAGCTTATAAACCTCTCTTCCATATTAGTTAAAGTTAGTGTGTAAATAGTTGGAAAGTTCAAACCAGTAACTGTTTATTTTCATCTCTGCATACAGTAGCTGACCACCTTTTCCTCTCCTCAGTGGTTCAAGTCCAACAAAGCAGCCGGTGGTTCGCTTTAAGAGGAACAAACACCACAAAGGGTCCATCTACTGTGTGGCCTGGAGCCACTGTGGGCAGCTGCTGGCTACAGGCTCCAATGACAAATATGTCAAAGTGCTGCCTTTCAGCGCAGAAACGTGCAACGCCACAGGTAAGTGTCCTCAGCGTGAATGTGTGGTGGTCGTCCCGTTTGTGGCATTGCCAGTGTTCTCATTTTTGTTTATTTTTGTGCATCCTAGGCCCAGACCTGGAGTTTAGTATGCATGACGGTACCATAAGAGACCTGGCCTTCATGGAGGGGCCTGAAAGTGGAGGAGCCATCTTGATCAGTGCCGGGGCCGGAGACTGTAACATCTACACCACAGACTGCCAGAGAGGACAGGGTCTGCACGCCCTCAGTGGACATACAGGTAACTGCTCCATCCCTCCATCTGTCCAGCACAAATCAAAGTGGAAGTCAGAGAGAGTAAGGATGATGCTGAAAGTGGACAATGTGTAATCTCTCTTCAGGACACATCCTGTCTCTGTACACGTGGGGAGGCTGGATGATCGCTTCCGGCTCTCAAGATAAGACGGTGCGTTTCTGGGACCTCAGAGTGCCCAGCTGTGTGCGGGTAGTGGGAACTGCTTTCCATGGCTCAGGTTTGGCTCGCATCATGTGTTTCACCTCTTAATTTAGCAAGTGTTTGGGAATTGTGAGCCAAGATACCAGAAATAGTAAATGTTATCATTGGTTCTGTTGTTCTCGATTTGAAAATAATGACAGTTCATACAACTACACCCCTTCTTTACTACACAGGGAGTCCTGTTGCCTCAGTCGCAGTTGATCCTAGTGGCCGTCTCCTAGCAACAGGACAGGAAGATAGCGCATGCATGCTGTATGACATCAGAGGAGGACGCATCGTCCAGGTGTACCGGCCGCACACCAGTGACGTTCGGTCCGTTAGGTTTTCCCCTGGAGCGCACTACCTGCTCACTGGTTCCTATGACACAAAGGTTGTGGTCACCAACCTCCAAGGTATGTCTACCTTCAGAGCGCATGCAGTGGTTGCATCTGGATATGATGTGGTATAGCTACAATAGTTAAAACATCTGTAACAGCACTTAATTCAATAGAATCACTTCAAACAAAGTTTAAAAATGTTTCATTAAAAAGCCACTCTTGTTTGATCACTAACATCTGGGGAAAAAAACAATCTTTTGAGTCTTAATAATCAGAAGTAATTGTAATAATAATAATTATAATGATGATGATAAGTATGCCTGTTTTATAGAAGGTTTCCCCACCTCCTTAAATAAAATATAAATTAAAAGGATGATTGTGAGATTGGCTCCAGGTCTGCCACTAGAGGGGACTGAGTTACATCATAGGTGCATCACATTTGGACGTGTCCAAGTTTTAACCATTGAGCTGTAGATTCGAGGTGAAGTTGGAAGAATTTGGAGGTAATACTCCTTTATCATTATTCCATTCATTTTGTGCAATGTCCCAACATTAAACAACCCAGAGCAGGATGCTACCACCAGCATGTTTGACAGCTGGTACAGTGTTCTTAGGGTTGAACGCCTCCAAATATACTGCACCTCTTGTCACTGTGGCCAAATAACAATCTTTGTCTCGTGTGACGGTAAAGAGGTTGGTTTGTCCATGTGGGCAGCTAGTTAAGATGTCGCAGATCCTTTAACACCACATATTAAAAGATTTAAGAGTGTATGTATATATTTGAGGCCACATGTCAGCGCGTGTCTGATGGTTTTCTGCCTCCTCCTCCGTCTCTCTAGGTGACCTGACCAAACAGCTGCCTCTGACCGTGGTGGGAGAACACGGTGACAAAGTGATCCAGTGCCGATGGCACACACAAGACCTGTCCTTCCTCTCATCCTCTGCTGATCGCACTGTCACACTTTGGACACACAATCCATAACACACACACACACTTGTATGCGCACACACACACACACACACATACACACAGAGCCAGTTGTTTCTATCTGACACATTCCCCTAAAATATTACTGCTCCTCTGCATTGTAAACACTGACCCACCCTTACACACACACACACACACACACACACACACACACACACACACACACACACACACACTCATAGGTACACAAACTGGTGAACAAGCCTTTCCCTCCTGTCTGTAGTAAAGCAAATGGGACTCACACCTGGGACACATCAAAAGCACACTTGTTGCATGTTCTCCTTTCTTGATCACCACACTGAGGAGTAAAACTGCAGGATTCTTCGTCGTTCTTCGTCCTGTAATTCGCCCTGCGTTTTTGCTCTCTGCTCACACCAATCAGTTGCTGCATGTCCTTTTTCCTAAAGGGATGAGTAGGAGAGACAGGACAGGAGTGCTTTGTTCATGATGGTGCCTTCCTTGAGTTCTCAGTTTCCATAACAAAAAACAAAAAATCAAAAAATGGTCCTTTTTTTAATATCAAATTTTGTTAAGTCATTTTGAGAATCATACATTCCTCTTTTTGCATATCATTATTTTTTACAGCTGGTGAGACGCTGCTATTGTTTAAGAAAGACAAAAATTTGATGTAAAATGTAGTTTTTCCAGTGTTTCAGTGGTGAGCTTTTCCTCTCGGGAGGCCGAATCTATGGAAGTCAGGCTATCTCGTGCTTCCCCGTGGGGTGTCTAACATTACTGTATGCACTGTATTACTGCAGCTCCAACTGTGTAAACGAGCTAGTGTGTTTAAATTTAAAATCAGTGTTTGTTTTTTTGTTTTCTTTCTTTTTTTTTTGCGCTGAAGCTGTTCTGGTGTCTTTGCAGTGGCTTGCTCGTTACTATGTTAGTATCAAAGGGAAGTACAGCATGTGATTATTGGTTGGGCGCCCTTGCATACAGTTTGGATTTGGCTGTGTTCAAAAGCTTTGGCTTGTCTACTGCTGTGTGTGTGTAATGTCAGTAGATGGCAGTCTTTTCCCCAAACAAGGGTCTGACCGTATGCACAATGGATTCTGGATGGACGCACGGGTGTTTTGATATTTATTTAGAACCAGTGTTTGGGGCATATGCATATTATTTAATTTTTTATTTTAACCTGCGCACTTTGTCCTTTTAACATCGTCTTCTAATATTGACTTACTTGCAGAGATGCATATTTAAGTTTATATGTTAATGTATAGTATATATTATTTTAACAATGAAGGCCAAACTAATACGTACATAGATGTATTTATTTCAGTTGTGTTTATGTATGTACAGTTAGTTTGTTTTTGAAATGCTAGTGGCTCTTGTATTAAGCCTTGTTTTTAAAAGTGACAGATGAGTTCAAGCTAACTGAAGTCTGACTGCTGGTACTTTCAATAAAGTGTCTTTTACACAAACTCTGCATTTTGTGTTTTGCTTTTCTTCTTTGGATTAAATACTTGATGCTGAACATTTTCAAATAAGTCACGATGGCTACATGAACAGACATGTTTTATTCCTCTGAACTCATAGTATTTAGTACAAAAGGGTAAGAGACACGGACTGTACATGGGTTAAATCCATACTTTATCAGTTTGCTCATAGTAGCTTTTGTAAGTGCCTCCTGTGCGACTTCAGGAACTTAACTCAAACAAAAACCTCATACAAACAGACACACACTCTTCTCAATGAGATTCATAAAGCACCATGGTCACTTTTTCATGAAAAGTTTCCACAGAAATCAGAACAGATCACACCTTCAAACATTTACATTTTACTTGCAACATGGCACAACTCAGAAACTCCATGAAATCACATCAAACAGACACGCACAAGACACGCACACTGCCATGTATGCCACATCTGTAAAGGGCTGTAATACATGAAAAGAGTGATTTAAAACACCACTATGAGTATACCTCTACTACTTCATAGCAGTGGGACGGCAGTTCATGGGACAAGAACAATAAATACAAACATACCTGCAGTGGTGTATTTAAAAATACACAGGGTGAAGTGAGAGTATGCAGCAGTACAGAATTATTAAAAACAATTATTAAAAAAACACTTTTGTCCCTGATGCTACTCTGAGTTCATCTTTGTACAAGCTGTGTGAAAAGTCCTTGTTAATCTGAGTTCCCCCGCCCCCCCATACTGTCAACTGCATACAGTGCTGATAATGCTATGTGTTGTCCTAAAGGACAAGGAAGTGATCACTGGTCCATCACGATACTGTCCACACCTTCATTAAACAAAAGACCTCACAGTCCCTTTAGTGCTTTGTTTAGTTGGAGCTTGGCCTAGATGCAGCGTTTGCAGCAGAAGGCAGGGTGACGCGTTGTTCGTCCATTCGTTTGGCCTGCGACCGCATGATGAGGCTGAAGAAGTCCTCATCTGGTACGGTGGGCCCTCGGACTGGAGGAGGGGGAGGAGCACACCGCTGGTCATCCAAACGGGAGCCCTGGAAGGAATACGGTGAAAGCAAAGAGTATGACTTTGATGTCTGAGTAACAGGATGTTTATAATCTTGTTTCTAACTTTTTTCTTTGTAATATACTTTGCTCCTTTGTGCAGCTGATCTCTTGCAAGGTAATAAGAATCCTGCCTCCTGACCTCTGGCTACAACAAACAGACATCACTCTTCTACTTATGTTACACCGGCTTCCTGTTACCTTCAGCATCCACTTCAAAAACATCATTCTTGTATAGGATGGATTCCACTGTTGGGACTCTTTAACTACACAATTATTTTAAATAGGAGCTAAAATATTTCTGTTTATACCGGTGTTTGAATATCAAGTGTGCCCACCCAGCACTATATACAGTGGGGCAAAAAAGTATTTAGTCAGCCACCGATTGTGCAAGTTCCCCCACTTAAAATGATGACAGAGGTCAGTAATTTGCACCAGAGGTACACTTCAACTGTGAGAGACAGAATGTGAAAAAAAAATCCATGAATCCACATGGTAGGATTTGTAAAGAATTTATTCGTAAATCAGGGTGGAAAATAAGTATTTGGTCAATAACAAAAATACAACTCAATACTTTGTAACATAACCTTTGTTGGCAATAACAGAGGTCAAACGTTTACTATAGGTCTTTACCAGGTTTGCACACACAGTAGCTGGTATTTTGGCCCATTCCTCCATGCAGATCTTCTCGAGAGCAGTGATGTTTTGGGGCTGTCACCGAGCAACACGGACTTTCAACTCCCGCCACAGATTTTCTATGGGGTTGAGGTCTGGAGACTGGCTAGGCCACTCCAGGACTTTCAAATGCTTCTTACGGAGCCACTCCTTTGTTGCCCGGGCGGTGTGTTTTGGATCATTGTCATGTTGGAAGACACAGCCTCGTTTCATCTTCAAAGTTCTCACTGATGGAAGGAGGTTTTGGCTCACAATCTCACGATACATGGCCCCATTCATTCTGTCCTTAACACGGATCAGTCGTCCTGTCCCCTTGGCAGAAAAACAGCCCCATAGCATGATGTTTCCACCCCCATGCTTCACAGTAGGTATGGTGTTCTTGGGATGCAACTCAGTATTCGTCTTCCTCCAAACACGACGAGTTGAGTTTATACCAAAAAGTTCTACTTTGGTTTCATCTGACCACATGACATTCTCCCAATCCTCTGCTGTATCATCCATGTGCTCTCTGGCAAACTTCAGACGGGCCTGGACATGCACTGGCTTCAGCACCAGAACACGTCTGGCACTGCGGGATTTGATTCCCTGCCGTTGTAGTGTGTTACTGATGGTGACCTTTGTTACTTTGGTCCCAGCTCTCTGCAGGTCATTCACCAGGTCCCCCCGTGTGGTTCTGGGATCTTTGCTCACCGTTCTCATGATCATTTTGACCCCACGGGATGAGATCTTGCGTGGAGCCCCAGATCGAGGGAGATTATCAGTGGTCTTGTATGTCTTCCATTTTCTGATGATTGCTCCCACAGTTGATTTTTTCACACCAAGCTGCTTGCCTATTGTAGATTCACTCTTCCCAGTCTGGTGCAGGTCTACAATACTTTTCCTGGTGTCCTTCGAAAGCTCTTTGGTCTTGGCCATGGCGGAGTTTGGAGTCTGACTGTTTGAGGCTGTGGACAGGTGTCTTTTATACAGATGATGAGTTCAAACAGGTGCCATTCATACAGGTAACGAGTGGGGGACAGAACAGCTTCTTACAGAAGACGTTACAGGTCTGTGAGAGCCAGAGATTTTCCTTGTTTGAGGTGACCAAATACTTATTTTCCACCCTAATTTACGAATAAATTCTTTACAAATCCTACCATGTGAATTCATGGATTTTTTTTTCACATTCTGTCTCTCACAGTTGAAGTGTACCTCTGGTGCAAATTACTGACCTCTGTCATCATTTTAGGTGGGGGAACTTGCACAATCGGTGGCTGACTAAATACTTTTTTGCCCCACTGTAAATGTGTATTAGCAAACTATTCAGTAAACTATGCTTTTTCTGTTACCTGGCACTTGACAAGCATATCAAAGAAGTCATCATCAGGCTCAGCGCTGTCAGCGTTGGCCATCAGGTGGCTGAGCACGGCCTGGTTGCTGTTTTGGTTGAGCCTGAGTCCTGGCAGGCTCCCCCCTGCTGCTGATGACTCCTCTAAGCGCCTGCCCTGAGCGCCTGACACATTGGCAGACTCTGACATGGCTACAAATGAAAATAAATAAGTACGCAAATTATAAATTATTTTAACAGTGGTTATATTTTTTGTGTGGGTGGATTGCATGGACCTACATTTCCTGATGGTCCTGGGAGGTGACTCTGGGCCGCTGTTTAGCGATAACCTGCTGCCTCGGTCCTGTATCGAACATCGCTGGTCATCCATGCGGTTGCTCTGGAATCGGCTCAGCAGGTCAAAGAAACCGTCGTCTCCGAGCATGTCGGGGCTGAGTCGCTGGAAAACAAAAACAAACAACTTGAAAAAAATAAATAAAAATAAAACAGCAAAAGTTGTTTGATCTTGAATACATGAGTGCTCTCTGAGTGATCTTCAAATGAATGCCCCAGGTCTGCGTACTTTTTGTGGTCCCTGTGCAGGTGGCTGACTGGTATCCAGGGTATTGCTGGTGTCCTGGAGGACCTTACTGGAGCCACCAGACTTGCACTTCTTCCCTCGCAGACGACCAACAAAGAAGAGCTTGGAGGAGCTCTTAGCCAGCGAGGGTTTGGACTGTTTGGTCAAGATGTCGCTGTTCCACTTTTGACCCTTCAGCACAGAAATGGATCACAATCATCACAAGTTCAATAGCAAAGGGTGATGTAACAAGAAGCCCTTCTTGTAGATGAGGTGTGAGCAGAGCACTACAGTGGAGCAGTTCTTACATTTACTTTGTCTGGAGTAAGCTTCACCAGCTCCAGGTTCTCCATGCTATGTCGTTTGCTCATCCTGGGCCTGGCTCCTGTAAAACAATAACAATGTTACGTAATCTACACATTCAAAGCATCTGAAATATTATAGCAAGGGGCATAGGGAAGGTCACACAGTTTTTACCGTGCAGGCTGTAGTCGATATCCTTATTTTCGGAAACAGTGGAGGTATTTGTGCTGTAGCTCAAACCCAAAAGTGTCTGGAGATCAGATACATTCATACGAGCTGTCAGCTCCCCGCTTCTGTCTCCAGTCTGAAAACAACAACAACAACAAAAAAACAGAAGGAACAAACCAACTTTTAATTTTACTGCTGAAGGATTTCTGTATCTGTTCTTAACAAGTTTGCCTTGAGTACTTCTGAAATGCTTTGCTGTGAAGATAGTATGAGCAGTGCATACCTCTCTGCAGATCTCCAGGTGTTTCTCAGCAAAGTGCATGGCTTGGTCATGGTTTCCCAGTGCAGTGTAGGCATTTCCAAGACTCCAGCACGCACGGCCCTCACCAATCCTACAGAATGAAACCATACATAAGCAAATACTATTTAACTGTGGCATACTGTAGTTACATCAAAAGAAGCATCATAAAACCTTGTGTTTGCATCTGTACCTGTCATTGAGGTCTTGAGCTATGATGAGATGTTTGAGGTGATAGTCTATGGCTCTCTCATAGTCCTGCAGAAGTGTGTAGGTGTTGCCGAGACTGTAGCAGGCCTGAGCTTCCACGGCTCGGTCCTTTAACTGCCTCGCCAACTGCAGTGTCTTCCTAACAAGCAATCAGACAAGATGCTTCAAACAATGCACACTGGCTTTATGTTTTCTTCATACAATACAGGCCTGCTTTCCCAGAAGGAGCTCATAGGAACATAATATAATGCATAAATACAATGATAGAATTTTAGATATTGCCACTATTGTGTAAGGAAAAGAGTCTAAAAATGTTACAGTTATTTGATAATTCAATTTCCTCTTTTTTGGGGGAGACAATCATGGTGACAATGTAGGATCAAGTGATTAAGGATCCAGTCACACATGCCTAGAGACCAAATGCGGCCAACAACAACAAACATTAATACACATATGTAGGTGTGGCTTACTTGTAATGTTCAGCTGCCACTTCAAATTCCCCCAAAAAGATATACGCATTCCCCAAGTTGCAGCAAGCCCGCCTCTCTGCTGATCGATCCCCAAACTCCTTAGCAATGAGCAAACGCTGAAACAGAAACACTGAATTTTAACATTGTATTTAAAAAGGCGTAATAAGTAACTTACTAAAAGAAAACATCATCATGGATGCTTGTGAACTCCTTACCAAAAGACACCCTCACCTGTTCATGAGAAGCTACAGCTTTGCGAAAGTTTCCCAGCAGGTAGTGTGTGTTGCCAAGGTTGCCATAAGTTCGACCCTGAGCAGCTCGATCTCCAAGCTCCTTCACTATCGCCAAGTTTGCCCTGACAATGCATATGCAATCAAACGGTCAGCCAGCAGCTCACTTTGTAATACACTGGATACTTGACACAACAGTCAAAGTAACAGAACTTGTTATTTCTAATGTTAAATGACTCTGATTAAATCACACGCTCTCCTTCTTACTCATAGTACTCTGCTGCTTTCCTCAGTGCCATCATGACATCTTCTGGGAAATCTCCGGGCTCAGCTCCGCTCCAGCAGATACTTTTGCCTTTGGCATGGTACACATTCCCAAAATTATAGAGTGCCCTCGCTTGCCCCACCTAATCGGAAACACGAGTGGTGAAGATCACTTTCTTCTGAAACTCTCAAATACATGAATACAAATATCTGACTTTTATTCTTTATTGCTTATTTTCTCGAATACGTTGCCTCACCTTGTCATTCATGTCTCTGGCTATGTCCAAGTGCCTCTGACAGCAAACCACAGCCTCATCGAACCGACCCAGCACCTTCAATGTGTTGCCGAGGTTACCGCTGGCTTTGGCCTCTCCGACCAGGTCGCCAATTGTCCTGAACAAGACACGTCACGCTGTTAATAAATAAACATTGTGCTGCACTCAGCAGGGCCTTTTACAGAGCTGTTTCTCATGTGTCCAACCTCGTCAAGGTGAGATCGTGCCGGTGGAACTCCAAGGCCTTGGCATAGTCTTGCAGGTGGAAGTAGGCATTTCCAAGCTGGCTGTAGATGGCACTGAGCACCTGGAGGTCCTCTGTGCCCACTTGGATGGCAGCTTCAAAAAAGGAGACGCCTGCTTTGTAGTCACCCACCTTACAGAGGCGCTCACCCTCCAGCGCCAGCTCCAGGCAGGACACCTCCATCCTAAAGAAGAGAGGAGCACAGTCTGGACTTCTCTTCTTCAAAAACATAAACTCTAAAATCTCCTCGTCCTCTAATCGACAGCCAAATGGCTCCGTCCACGACTGAAAAACAAAACGTCCTTCGAAGCAAAGGCTTTCAGCAAGTAGGAATGTTTAGCCACTTCCTTCCATCTACAGAAAACAATAGAGCGTGTTTATTATAGTAGATCTCACATCCTTTGGACCTACCCCAGAAAGCAAAACAGGTTCCTTTTCCAATCAGCTGAACCAAAACTGAACCTTTGATATTCAGTATTTGTAATGTTTGCTGCTGTTGCTTTAGAACTTTAAACACCTTATAACCGATCATTTAAAAGATCTTTGCTGGCAAAGATTAAAAAAAACATCTTAAATTTCCTAAAATATTGCTTGTGAAAGCAAAATGTTTGATTCCCAGCAACCAACACTGGACATCTGTATACTTCTTCAAAAGAAATAAAATCAAAACACCCAATAAATTTGTTTTTGAAGTACAGCAAATACATGAATGTCTGTAACAAACACTCATGGGGTTTAAATGTTTTAAGCCAGATGAAAAGAGTGTCAGTCAGTGGCTGTGAAGGCAAATTTAGTGGCATATTTGTGCTTAGCAAAAACTGTCAGATAAACCAACTTTGTTTTTCAGGAAACTGTACTGTTAGTGACATAATGGCTTAACAAAAAAATCTATTCAGTTTGTATAACAAGATTTCCTCCTGTAACCACCCTATGGTTATCTGAAAGCTCGCAAAAACAGACCCAGAAATGACGCAAAAACACCAAACAGCTTGTCTCACCATCCAGCTAGGCTATAATTTGAGAACAAAGGCAAACATAGTGTAAGAACAATAAAGTTCAATAGAGCTCAGCGCAGCGGCCTTAGGCCTTATATTAAAGAGCTTACTTTGTGTTTACTGCCACGTTAACACTATCATTTAACACTCTAGCTGAGGCAAATGCTAGCCTACCTGCTGGCTTTTTGTGTCTTACAACAACAGCAGCAGCACATGGAACATCTGAGAGGCATTTACTGAGGTATCCACTGGAAAAACCTCCAGGCTGCAGTTCCTTCTCTTTCTCCGAAGCATGGAGAGATTACCTTAGACCAACTTCGAGTTGAAAAGATTTTTTTTCTCTTTTAAATACAAAAATGCCCTAAAAACTAAACTGCATTCGTCCTAGGTAATATCAAAACCATAATTCATCTGACGTCACAGAGATAATTTAGCATCACGCACTGGAAAACCTTCAAGGAGACGCGTGTGATGTTGTCACAGCATTAACTTCCAATGCCTGCCAGCAAGGAAACTGCTCTATCAGCGTTTTCTCGGCTAATCTGCTTGTCTTTCGTCCAAGCCCCGCTCTCCTGGTGACCTGGTCACCTGAGATTACGGCTGTAGAGTATGCACCTGAGAGATTACAAAGCCGGTGAGTGCTGTACAGATTGATTAGATCTGTCAGACAAACAGAGTCTGTAGCGACGTGTAATGGAATTAGGGATGCACTGATGAACGGGTGAAATTCTGCGCTGATACCAGTGTTTAAAATAACTATTTCACCACTACCAAGTAAAAATGTTTATTTTGTTTTTGATATCTATTCCCCTTTATGTTCCAAGCACACAAATAATTCATTATGACAAATAAAATCTGTATCTGCACAATGTCT